GTCACAGTGCTATCCTGACTGGCATACCCACCCTCTACCCTAAGCCTCTCTACCCCTGAACTTTGCTTCCCTTCCTATAGCTTCTTTTCCTAAACAACCCAGCCATTCTGGCTATGCATTCTCTTGGTTCCCATTTGTTCTCTTTGCGCTTTCTCTCTGTTCTTCCTCTCCCCCACCCCTCTCATGGCCAGTATAGTCTGCTGGACTACTTCAGTCTGGACTCTTCCAGATGCCTCTCACTGTTCTCTCCCTCATATTTACAATAAACCTTCTCCTCAACCATACTTAGGATAAGCCATGTCCTTACTTTCATTCAATACTAAGAACTTTCATCCAAATTTTAAAATCAAGGATTAAGAAACTTCAAAGTTGCAGGGCCGTGGCAGCACACGTCTTTAATCCCAGTACTCAGGAGGATCTCTGAGTTCAAAGACAGCCTGGTCTATAGAGTGAGTTTTAGGATAGCCAGGGCTACACAGGGAAACCCTGTCTCAAAAAACCAAAATAAATACAACCATTATATATCTGCAACCAACCATTTTATGAGGCCTACCCATGATGCTGGTTTCTTGTCCTCAACCATAATTAGGTTGACTTGATGCCCAGCACAAAGTGCCTCCACCAACTTGCCATACACAGGCTCATTACAATTGGATACAAGCAAACAAAGGCAAGCTTGGCACTTGTCTAAGGCTCTGGCAGCTTCATGTATGCCATGCGCTAGGCCATCATGGAAGAGGGCAGTCTTTGGCACCTCTTGTAATGTTGGCATCCATTACACCTTTAGCAGCAATGCCTTCCCCAGCGATGGTGATGGATTATGAGTGAGGCCAAATCTTAAATGTACCTGGGCCAGAACCTCCAGGTTCACACAATTCAGAAGTAGCAAGGGGAAAGGGTTTTTTTGTTTTGTTTTGTTTTTTTAATTTATATGTGTACTGATGTTTCTCTTGCATGTATGTCTATATGAGGGTGTCAGATCACCTGGAACTGAAGTTATAGAGAGTTGTGAGCTGCCATGTGGGTGCTGAGAATTGAACTTAAGTCTTCTGGAAGAGCAGCCAGTGATCTTCTCAACCAAGCCATCTCTCTAGCCCCATTAAATTTTGCCTGCACATATATCTGTGCACATGTGTGCCTGGTGCCATGGAAGCCAAGAGTGTTTCAAATCTTCTGAAACTGGAGTCACAGATGGTTGTGAACTGCCAACTGGGTCCTCTGGAAGAGCATAAGTACTCTTAACCTCTGAGTCATTTCTCCAGCTCCCCTCAGAAAATTTTAAGTTACTCAATTAGAGGAAAGTGATAATGTTTCCATTCCAACCACTGGCCATTGATGTTTCCTTATCACTCATCTTCCAAATTATATTTTTTGACTACCTTAAAAATATTAACTTTAAAGTCAACATGCCCAAAACTGTTACCTCTGTTACTTTGATACTTACTGTCATTCTTTTAGGCAAGAAACTAAAATTTCATAGTTGAGTCTTCCCTCTCAGACTTATATTAAGTATCTACCTAGATCTAGTCCATTCTATTCAACAAACTACAGTTATACTTAATGAATCATGGTAAACTGCTTACCTAATTTTACCACAATGTAACAACTTAAATCAAACAACCCTGTAGCATTGGGCCAAAATCTCTCACCACTTTCTTAAGCTGGAGTTCTTTCTAAATATGGTCTTCTGACCTGCTGGCGTCTGTGGTATCTGGGACCATGTTAGAAATGCAAATTTGGGGATTTGACCTAAAACCTACATTAAAAAGCTGAGAGTGGAGACCAGCAGATTCTGAGGAATAGTCAAGTTTAGTTAAGTGCACCAACTGTAGATTCCTCCACTTACTTTGGAAGCTGATCTCACTTTACTATTTTTATTCATTTCCCAGTGATAGCTCCTTACTTACATGTCTAGCAATGCCAGTCCTTTCTCCTGTGCAACCAAGCCTTTAGCCATTTTCCATTTTTTTTCTTGAGGCAAGATCTACTAGATTGCTCAGGCTGGTCCTAATTTCCTTAGTGCAAGTGATCCTTCCAACTCAGCCTTGCCAGTAGCCACGATTCTAGGCAAGTGCACCTCACAAAGGCTATTTCCTGTCTTTTCCCTACAAAAAAAAAAAAGTCTCTTACAATTTTGTAGCCCATGTTATCCCTATTTAATTGGTTCTTTGTCATAATACCAACTGGCTTACACTGTAACTATTTATTAACCTTTTGTTTTGTTTTGTTTTTCCAGACAGGGCTTCTCTATGTGGCCTTGGCCGTCCTCAACTCGCTTTATACTCAGAGATCCGCCTGCTTCTGCCTCCCTGAGTGCTGGGATTACAAGCATGCACCACAGCACCCCAGCTTTGTTGGGCTTTTTTAAAGGTAGGGATTTCTCCATCCTTAGGATAGTTCAGGGCGCACAGTACTTGCTCATAAAGTCTTGCTAGTGTGTTAGTCTTACTGACTCTACGAAGCGTGGGGATGGGCAAACAGATCAAACTACTATTTTATCAAGGCCCTTTGGAAAATATAAAAATTTGGAAAGCCTACCAATACTGCAACAATATAATAACCTCAACAGCTATCTACACTATAAAGTCAACAAACATGGTTTCAACTAACTTAGGTGATACAACAATTTTACAGGAACTCAGTTGTTCATCTCAATTTGACAAGTTCAGGAAGCCTGGGCAAACAACCAAGGTTAAAATGTAATGATGTGAATCAAAACATTCCAAAGACTGTGCAGACATACTGTTTGTAAAAGTCAAGAGGAGGAGGGGGAACGGGAACACAGAAAGGAAAGAAATAGAGAAATAACTTTTTTAATTTTTAAATAAATCCGGAAGACAGGAGGAAGATGGTAGGAGGACGGCAGATGAACAGCCGTCGGCACACTAAAGGAAAGCCTCTCGCAATAAACACGAAAGAAAACAGAAGCTGCTTGGCAGACTACTCAGGACATCTGAGGCAGCCCGACAAGAAAGCACAAGACACAGGCGCGACCTAGGAAATGGTTTTCGCTGTCAGGGAAGTGATCTGGAAGTCCACACAACTTTTTCTTAAAGGCGCAGTCTGAGGGTTGGTCTGACCTGCCCCGAGGAGTGCTGCGGAAGAAGCGCGGGCAGGCCAGGCCACGGAAGGGAGACGAAACGTGGGCGTCTCCCTCGGAACCAGCGCCGCCTGCGTGGTGCCGCCCGGGCCCGAGGCCCAACACTCACCTTTCCCACTCCGAGGCCGTGGTGAAGTCTGTGATCTCAAACACCTCGGACTCGGGCTGCGGGGAGAGAGAGGAGCACAGACATTAAGCCGGGCCACTGGCGTCGGCGGCACAACCCGGGGACAGACGCACCCAGGGTGCAGAACTCACCTCGCTGTCGGCCGCCATCTTGCCGAGCGGAGCGTCAGCCCGTGCGCGAAGGCTGCCGGGAAGAAGGGAGCCAAGGCTGGCACGGATGACCGTGGGCGGGACCTCGGTGCGCAGTGGGTGGAGCCTCGGTGCGGGCCCGCCCAAGGAGCACCGGGTGGAAGGGGAAGAGACGTCTGATCCAGGCAGGAAGAGCTAAGCGTGAAGTCTGCGCTCCCTCGAGATGGTTTAGTAATTTTTCTTTCTTTCTTTCTTTCTTTCTTTCTTTCTTTCTTTCTTTCTTTCTTTCTTTCTTTCTTTCTTTCTTTCTTTCTTTCTTTCTTTCTTTCTTTCTTTCTTTCTTCCTCCCTCCCTCCCTCCCTCCCTCCCTCCCTCCCTCCCTCCCTCCCTCCCT